TCTTTTCTCTCTCTGTCCTTTTACATGATTCTTCTTTCTTTTTCTTTTTTTTTTTTTTACTTTTGCAATTGGATTGTAAATGATGAGAAGACAATTTAATTTAATAACCAACTTCAGCATTGATTTTAGGAACTATATTGCATATAGATTCAAATTCAAACCAAACCCCTTTTGTTCATTTTATTCTACATTTCTTTTTTTTTACTGTGACCCCATGTGTAGGTTCCATAGCAGGCAAAAACAAGCTTCTGAGAGATGGATTTAAACTTTAAAGCTATGCCCTTTGGATGATGGTGATGATTATTATTCACATTATCAATTATAATTAATATATAATTCTAAGTTGCTTTCAACCCAATAGATCTGTACTTTTGCTGTGCCTGCAGTAGATAAACAAATAGTTTCATATGTCTCAACTCCAGCCATAGATTCCATCGAGGTCATACATTATAATTTCAAACAACATATATATTTTTTTGTTTTATTTTGATTTTTGCTATCTGGGATCTCTGTGGTGGTGGAGCTGAATTATTGATGAAGAGGAGAAGGGATTATTCAGCAACAGAGTAAATGTCAAATAAGAAATTATTCCTGTTGTATTGAATGCTAGGTTTAAGGTACTTGGACCACAGAACTGAAGAAGAAGCCCTTTTAATTGGCTATTCTTTTTAGCATCAATTCAGGCCATATAAGGGCTTTTGATCTTGTCATCTTTGAGCCATCACCCTCACTTTTAATTTGTCTGATCTATCTTTTGTACTCTATGGTGAAATCATTAATGAAAAAATACTTTAGCTTTTATATTCATATTCATAACAAGCCCACCAAGGAATTACTGATCAGATGATATCTAAATTGGCCCAGAAACAACTTTCCTACCTAGATGATCTTTTAAACTAAGAGCTGGGCAATTAAATTTTAGTTTTTTCCTAATAGATTTGTTTATAGTTGTTTTTCTAATTTGTTTTTGATAGTCATAGCTTTTAAATTCTGGGTTGTAAATCATCTTGGTTCATGACCATGCTTGTGATACCTTATTTGATGGTGAAGAAGATTGTCCAAATTTTTTACATTTTATTTAATAATGTTGAATTAATTGGTTCTTATTCTTGATTGCAAATATTAATGAAAATATGTATTTAGATGAGTATTGTATATCTTGTTGGTGCATTGAAGAAGTTTCTGATCAGTGCTAATTTCCATCTTCTTTTTTTATAAATATTGTTCAAATTAGGTGGAAACGTGGTTTAATTTATTCCTCCATTAGCCAAGCGTCTGAAATTGGCTGTTTAAATTATGGGTTTAGACTTTTAGAATAAATTGTAAACATCATATAAATTGAAGCTATAAGAACTCAAAAAACAATAAAAATAAATTGAATCTGTAGACCTATAAATTGAAGCACAACTATTCAATTAAAAAGAAAAAACTCCATAGCTTTGTTGAGTAAAAAAAAAAAAAAAAGAATTATAAGCAAATACACATAATATGTACCTCTTCAAAACAGAAAATTATTCCTAAATGAGCTCTAAGATATTAGTTGAAATACTTTTTGTTTGGTATGAGGATAGCTTTTAGGTGAAACAGACATTATATTTAAAAATGGACGTTACGTGGAGGGTTTGTTCGTAACCGGTGCTATCAGAATTATACTCCAAAGTCGTAATGATTTATACTTAGAGTAGACAAAGATCACACTACTTTAGAAATGTAAATTAGAATCTGTTGTTCTAACACTGGTTTTTGGTGATTAGTGATACACAAGGTGTGAATTCCATTAAAACTTTGCATTAAATTGGATGCACAATGCACAACAAATTAAGAGTTTGTTTCATTGATAACTTCAGGAAAAGAGTATCGGAAAACACTTTTCAAATGGCGAAAAGTTTTGCCACTGGTAATCATTCTAAGATTGTTGCTTTACATCAAATAGTGAAATACTTTAATGAAAGTGATTAGAAGTTAACAAAGACCTTCAAAGAGAGAGAGAGAGAAAATTAAAAGCCTAAACTAACCTCTCAGGCACATCCCGTGAAGCAAAGGCTACAAATTTAATCACGAAAAGCTTTTGAATATACAGTAAAATTATTAACTGTTAAAAAAATAAAGGTTTTTTATTTTTGTTCTGGAAAACAATAAATATGGCTCTTCCAGTTCCAGCAGTAGTTTTATTAAATTTTGACGACCATATATGAATTCTATTCTATACATTTTTCAATTCAAGATTTGTAAAATTTTGTAAAGAAAAAAAGATCCCTTTACTAATTTAATTAGTTTAGGTATCGACAGTCACAGGTGCTCCACTTCCTTCTAATTAATATACCCCATACCCATTTGTTTAATTCATCTTTTACAGGTCATAGATCCAACTACCTATTTTAGTTATTTTTTTCTTCTTTTTGTTTCATAATTATTATGAAACATTCACTTAGATCTAGCTTTAATTTAATTGTTTTTCTTTATAATATAATGTTTAGATGCAACCTCTTAATGTCAAACAAAGATTCTAATCCTACATCTAAGGTCTCTCTTCTTTTTTTTTTTTTTTATTTATTGTTATTTTTCTTTTTTCCTTTGGATTTTTGTACGCATATTCTTATGCTTTGGCCTTGACATGCCCACGATCTGTCGGCATACGGCCTTTAGCATTTGGGAGGGACATGCAAGTTGAAAGATGACCAATTTAGTTTAAATGATATTAAATTAATGTTCATTTAATAATTTAATTAATTTGATGGTGAGTTTTCGTTGCATTTAAATATATATTTATGTGGGAAAAAAGGGGATTATTTTTGTCTGATTTTATGATGGAAGTCAAAAAAGAGGGTTTGGATTATTTGTTTTGTCTGACTGAATATACTTTTGGGTTGGCCTTTGATGGGAAAAGTAGGGGTTTGGAAAAAGGGTGAAGATTTCTTGTGCTTTGTGAGATTAGAATTTCGAAAATTGAGATTAGTGAAGTAAATGGTTAATTATTTAGCAACTTCCCTCGGTGTTAATGCACAAATCCCTTCTCTTTTGTTTGCTTTTGTACTAAAAAAATACAACTTTTGTCCACAATTAATATTTGTTGATTTCAAGATAGAAAGGTCTTCTTTGATCTTCGTTTTATTTATGTATTATAATATTACATAAGCAAGAATGTATAATTTGGTCCATTAAATATGTATTATGTTTCAAATTCATCTTCAATATATATTTTTTTCAATTAAGACCTTATAACTTAATAACAATTTTATAATTAAATGACAGGAATATATTGACATGACTAGAAATTATTATTTGTTTCATATATGAGTTTTTTTTAGTTTTTTTTTTTTTTTTACGGTTGCCGATCAAAATCTTGATTTCAAAAACCTTATTATGGTCAGCTAAAATATACCTTCATTTATATCTTAATTAAAATTAAAAAAATCATCCGATAGACTTGCAACCTTACTCTAGTATGTTATTCAAAAAATATGAATTAATATTTTCTTTTTATGGTAGGTGAGAGGGAATTTAAACTGTCGACCTTGAAAAGTTTGTCGTTTAAGACTTGCGACCTTACTCTAGTATGTTATTAAGAAAATATGAATTAATATTTTCTTTTTATGGTAGGTGAGAGGGAATTTAAACTGTCGACCTTGAAAAGTTTGTCGTTTACACCAATTTACATCTAATTACGTTGAAAAGTTTGTCGTTTACACCAATTTACATCTAATTACTTCCATATATGAACAGAGCAAATCTAAAAGTTTGTTGTATCAAATTCATAAATTACATTCTGAGAGAGAGTGAGAGAAGTGTTTGATGCAAAGTGAAAAATAAAAAGTAGTACTAAAAAACGATGAGAGAAAGATAATTGCTTGAGGGAAAAGTGAAAATAAAAAAGACATTAGAAGTGAAAAAAAAAAATGATGAGAGGAGAGAGAGGAGATGGCGAGGCAGTATTTGTACTTTGTGGGAGTGGGAGTACAAATAAAAAATACCCATATTCCAAGAAAATTTCCAAATAAATGTATAAAGTTTGGGATATGGGTATCATTATCAAATAAAATTAAAATGGGAACCTTCCTTTCGAAAAAAAAAATCAATTTTTGCATTTTTCTATTTGTATCGTCTAACAGATGACGATTATTAAAATAATTACTCACCAATCCTCGCCTAAATATTTTCTTTAATTTGCATTTCTAATTACCACCATTTACTAACATTGACCTCACTTTTCCTCCTCCTTGTCGATCTTTACTTTACTCTTTTTCTTTGAATCGAACCGATTTCTCATGCCAACATTTTGAATTCCTTCATTTTGAACCGAATCGAATCGAACCGAATTACTTTGTCGTACTTGTCAAAATGGCACAAAAAGCATGATCAATTCTGTTGGAGGAGAGAGAGAAAGAACTAGGAGCTCTACCTAACGCCTAATTACATTTACATGAAACAAATTAAATACAAAATTCGGACTCACCATCAAAACCCAGTAGTTGTAACCGATCTCTGCGAATTGTGAAACAAAGGGATAAAAAAAAAAGAAATTAAGGTGGGTAAAAAAATGAAGAGAGAGAGAGAGAGAGAGAGAGAGAGAGCGGTTAAAAAGAAAGGGAAAGAGGGTCAGATAGTGACAAAGTTAGAACTTTTTTCACAGAAATGTAGGAGAATATTAGGGGAGGGGGAGAAAATTAAAAAAGGAAAAAAAAAGAAAATAAAGTGGCAGTGGGCAGAGGCAGAGGGGCAGAGGGGCAGCACCACTCTACTCTACATGAACATCAGTATCATGATTGAAGATAAAAAAGAAAACTTGGGGAATCTTCTCTGCACCAAGTAACTCTTTTTTTTTTTTGCCTCTTCCAATTCTCATTCAATATTGAATCTAAATTCTCAACAATTCACTCATCCACCTTTTTCTTTTTAATTCTACACATTAATTAATTATTCTCTCCCCATGCATGCTTCAAACGTGTTGCAGTACCCTAAATTAAAGCAAAAAGATGGAATTTTCCTCAACTTCCTTGTTAAATTAAACCTTGTCTCTCTGCCTGAGAAAAATGTGTAAAAATGAAGGGAAATTATATATAATAGTGAGAATTGGAGTAATATGATATACCTGACAACCAGCACTAATGCATCGGATGTCATCAAACTCCGCAATTGAACGTGTGTTTGAGGGAGAATATTACTAAGTTGGGTGAGAAGGGAGAGGTAAAAGAAGCCCTGAAATGCCATGATGTCCCACAGCTTTCTTGAGCTTCAAACTGGTAAATCTTCACACGAGAATTGGAGAATTGTTGGAGAATATGGAGAAGAAGTTCAAGAAAGCTGTGGAAAAACATGGCCAGGTCCTCACCAAGCAGAAGCAGAGAGATTAAGCTTTCAGATCTTGAAATTGGGCTCTCTCTCTCTCTCTCTCTCTGGACAAGAGAGAGAGAGAGAGAGAATGAGAAATGACTACGCTTGCTCTCTCTCAATGCAAAGTTTTGTAAAGGACCACTCTACCATATATAACCTGTCCATCAGCTTTACACAGACACACAGAGAGAGAAAAATAGGGGTTTCAATTAAAATGGCTCAAAAAACACCCCCTTACAAAATGCCCTTACTTTCCTTGTGAGTGCGCAGTGGGGTACAAAAAAAAAGAAGAAAAAAGAAAAGAAAAAATCTTAATGAAAAGACAAAGATTAAGGTAATAATGTAAAGGGAAATGGAATTATTATTATTGTTTTTCTTTTCTTTGAGAGAGGGAAGAGGGAGGGGTAAAAATAAGCACATCATGGGATGTAATTTCAGAACCATAAGCTTGGCTGGCCCTCACATGCAACCATGTGTGGAGATCCCTTTTCATTTTAATGGGATTTTAAGGTATGGGTTGTTTATGGTCTGGTCCCCAAATTATTTTTTTTTTCTTTTTCATCTCTAATTATATTCTCCTTATATATATAGTTCATGTGTGATAATATGGAAAAAAATTTTGTTTTCATTGTGATCATATGATTTATATCTCTCCAACATTCAATTCCCATCATTATAAAATAAATCTCTGGCTTATTTTACAAATTTATTAGGCGCAAAATTTAATATTGGATACAAATTATTAAAATTTGAATTTTAAAAAATTTACTAAATTTCCATCATTTTACAACTTTCTTTTGTTTTGGTTTTCAGTTTCTCTATATATAAAAAAATGGAAAAAAAAAAGTTCTTTCGAAACTTTAGGCAAGTTTTTAAAGCATGAAAATAAATGATTAAATTAAGAAGTCCTGAAAATTAAAAATTTTATCCAAGAAAACAAAAAATAATTTTTCATTGGGAGGGAAGAGTATGGGGATATGGTTGGAGGATAACATGAAGATATCATTGTCACATGATGTGCGGTTATATGTTAGATGTGGTAATGTGTGGGCCCATAAAAGTGGGTATTGTTGGGCCTGGGGCCTCAGTTCCAGCTTCTCTCTTAAAGTGGGCCATAGCCCACTAATAATTTAGCTTTTAAAAAAATTTTAAATGAGAGGGTAGGAAAAAGAAAACAAAAATAATAATTAAAATTTTCAGAGTCCAGGCTGTTGGAAAGTTTTTTGTAGCATTGAGGGAGCCTGCCAAGTCATCATATTAAAAATGATGTGGAGTACACATTGACTGATATGTCCACGTCATTGCCACCAGTTCTCTCAGTTTTGACACTCTGGGTTTCATTTATAAATAATAATGCATGCCCCCAATTGTTTCAAAATTTCCTATTTCACAAAAACAAAAAAGAAAAAGAAAAGTTTCAAAATTGCAATGTCTTATCCATTTTTGTACCTCGCTAAGTTTATTTATGATCCCAATGCTTTAAAATTCCGAAATACCGTACGGAGCAGAATTACATTGTAATTCATTTTCTCCGGCCATTTATAACTCCTACTGTGTGCTTCCTTTAATATTTTATTTCGTTCATCCATTTCAGGTCGATTTTAAATTATGTTTATTTATACTCTTCCACATGGTTCATTTTATTATTCTGTTTTGTTCTATTTTTAATATACATGAATATTTATTCAAAAATATAATTTTAACCAACAATAATATATTTTATTTTAAAAAATAATTATTAGCCCAATTTAAACAATATGCTTTCTCTAATATGAGAGTGGACTGACTAATTTTTAATATGATAACTAGTTATTGCTAAAATATGAACCATGTGTAGCTTAATGGAATGATTGTTAGAAGTATTTAATGAAAACTAATTAAAATTAACTTATTTACTTGTTAATATTGATTAAACACTATTCCACATTATGATTTAATTAAAAAGTAACAATTCTAAAGTTAATTATAGAAGTTTTTTTTATTTCAAATGAGTTGTTTATTAAAGTTGAAGGAAATAACATTCTGTAAAGAAAAAAAAAAGGAGAATACAAATGAGAGAGAGAAGGAAATAAAATAAAAAGGAAAAATAAACATAGAGGCAATGGCTAAAGGGTAGAGTAAAAAAGTGGAGAAATGGGAGTAATTGCCCTTTATTTTGTCCCATGAAAAAAATATACAGCAATTAAATTTTTTTAAAAATTCTTTTAATTCGTCTCCTAATCTCTATAATTACAAGAATACATGGTATACTCATAACAATTTTGCCTCTCTTTAAAAGGAAATTATTAGCTTTACTTGTATAACTCAACTGATTAATTTACATATTTCATCTTAAATTTGAATGAGTGTATTTCATCAGTTGTGATTTATTTATATTGTGAAGTTAAAAAGATGGTGAGTATGAATTTGTTATCGTACACTATATTTATATGTGTGCATGTATGATGTATATGTATGATTTAGGCAGGGGGAAAGGGACAAAATAGAGCAGTTACTGGCAAAATTACACGTCACGTCTTTCACATCTTAAAGCCGGATAATCTGGTGTTTGTATCCACGAAGATGGGCCATTATTCTGACTCCCACTCAGCTTCTATCGAAATGGGCCCACCTCAAACCACGGGCCTTCAAAATTCAAGCCCACTTCCTTCTTTCTAATCTCCTCCCCAAATTGGTCGATCTCGTGACTTCGAAAAAAGGAAAAAGAACATTATATGTGAAAAGAAAAGACTACGAATTCGAATGGCAGACAATTGAAATTGGAATCGTGCCGCAATGTCGGATATTTCGTAGTTTCTTTCTACAAACAAACTATTTCGTATATAATATATTTATAATTTTAATTTCTTAACTAAAAAATGCATTACATTGGTGGGGCCGAAGCTTTCCTCTCCAATGATACTTAAAAAAGAAAAAGGGAAAAAATCTCTGCCACTGATTGGTTGTTTTGGTACCACTTTTTTTTTTTTTTTTGGCATAATAATATTAAAATAATAAGCGGAGGGACTTGTGATGTCGTTTTTAATTTTACTGTTCTGCGTTTCGTGGGCGTGCTCAGATGTCATCGAATTGTAAACTTCATTTGCCGCCGCTGGCCATGTTGTACTTTTAAAAGATAATAATAATAATAATAAAATGAAAACAAAATAATAATAAAGAAAAGGGAAAATTTGCTGCTGCGTAATGCGTGCCCGCCTTGAAAATAATTAAAATGAAAAATTGAGAGGGGGAATTATAGGATGCTTCTGGTATCATTGTAAGAAATAATGGGGCCCACGTTATTAACTGCTTAGGCAAATCGGGCGGTACATTTTTTTTTAATTTCTTTTACATCGAATGATTGATGACAAGTCTGATTATGATGCACGAGTTCCTCTGCGGCATCTGATGAAGATTTTGTACTGATTTACCGTACATTCCCACCGTTTTTTGGTGGCTTTCATTTTATCTTTCGACATATTATATAATATATAATGAATTATTATTAATCATGTGTTTGGTCGGTGATTTTAAAAAAATACAATAAAAATAGAGTTTTTTTTTAGGCACAGTAAAAATAGAGTTGGTATCCTGTATTTTCAATATATTCGATAAATAGAGGTAGTTATCACCTATTTATTTAATTCATTCTAAAAAATATTAATTAATATATCAATTGTCAGAAATTTTAAAATTATAATATTATATAATTTATAATATATTAAAATAGAGATTAAATAATATATTTATAAATTTTATATTTTTAATATAATTTTGCATATTATTATTTTTAATAAAAAATTTTAAAAATTGAAAATATAAAAATATTGTTTTTCATGATCATAAAATCTGAAAACAGTTTTCAAAAAGAAATCTATGAAACACATGTCAACAAATCAATAAATCAATTAATATGAAAAAACATACATAATTATTACCTACAAGAGAGGTACTAAATAGTTTTTTTTCCTTTTCTTTTTTTACTTTGCACTAGATAGTTTAAATATTACTTTTGGTTCTATATTTTTGCATTTGATTTATTTTTACCATCTTTTAAATGTCTATTTTAATTTATGTATTTTCAATTTTTTCTTTTTAGTTTTAGTCATTCAAAAAGTTTCGTTTTGGTACTTATTATTTTAACTAATGATAATTTTGGTATATATTTATATCATTTTAGCATAAATTTTATATACAATATAAATCTTTTAACATAAATTAAATGAGTGAAGTACAATGCTAGGACTATGGTCCAAATAAATAAGATAAAATGAAATGAAATGATTAAAATGGTCACTTATAAAAATACAAATATCAAAATGAGCGTTTGAAAAGTACAATTACTAAAATAAATTAATGATAGAGACCAAATAGATATTTTAAACGTAAAAGGACTAAAATTACTTTTTTTTAGTACAACAATTTGGAGATATGGGGGATCGAACCTCTTACCTCAAGGGAAGGAGTACATGCCAAGTAGTGTTGAATAATGCTCATGTTGGCAAGAACCAAAATTAGTCGAAGTCTAAATTACAATGACCAAAATAATATTTGATAAGCATTGATTTAAAGGCTAAAAAGTGTTATGTTGTTGTGCTTATTTGAAATCTATTGAGGTTGAAAACGTATGTTCATGCATATAATCAAGTGAAAATGTGTAAAATTATAAAATATACACATTTGGTTAAAATTATAAGGACTCGAACACTTATAGACTTAGGTAAATAAAAGTAAAATGATACAATTATGTGTGTTTTGTAGGGAAAAATGAGGAATGTTACACAAATGCGCAAGCCACATTATTTTGAGATTTCCTGCACGCACAGATGCGCCAAACCGAACCGGATCGAAAGGGAGGAAAACCGAACCGGGTCGAAATCTTTGTCGTAGGCGGGTATGAAGCTAATTTTCAGCCATTCTCTCTTCCAATTTGACCAAATTATATCCTAATTGCAACTCTAAAGACTCGAGAAAAAATTACAGGCCAAAATTAAGAGTATTGCCAAAACCGTAATATATCCAATTTAATTCAACCACAACATTTATCAAATGAATTTGTACCCAATGGAAATGAATGTTATTCTAGATGCTCTGATACCACATGATGGACAAAATACATACATGCACAGCGGAAACGAGCTAGGATCGAAATAACAATTTAGATGCATATTACAACTTAGGATTAAACATGCATGATCATACCTTATAATGCTTAGAGAAATGTAGAGAAAATTACATACCTTTGTAGCTTTTCAAATATCTTTCTATAGGTCCAATGAGGACAACCAAGAGGTTTTCCTAGCTATTCTCAAGGCTTGGAATATAGTGGTGGAACTATTTTTAGAAAAGGAAAATTTGAGAGAAATATAGAGCTAAAAAAAAGTGAGGTAAGCTTTTTCAAAACCATCAAATGGCCAAAAGTTACAAGAGCTTTCATGTTTGAACAAAGACATTCTTAAATAGGCAAATTATATGCAACTCTTGCATGTCAAAGTTCACCAAAAGCTTACAACACATATTCTACTCATGCATGGCATGACTAAGTGTCAAAATGCATGTCTAAGTTCACCAAAAGCTTACAACACACATTTCACTCATGCATGTCATGATTAAGTATCAAAAAATGGATTTTTTGAGATTATTTAAATGTTCCACTCAACAAGTTAGTGGAATTTTCTACCAACTTGGTTAAAAACATTATTTTAATCTTCGAAGTAAACCTTTGACTTTATCGGGTCAAAGTCAACTATTTGACTTTCTTCGAAATCCGACTGTTTGACGAAATCCATGTCTTCGATTATGAATCAGCATTCATAATTTTAATATTTAGATCCTATTTAACTATTCTGACCAAATTTCTCAATTGATATCAAAATTACTTAAATCATATCTCATATGATTAACCTAATTTGTACAATTCAAATTATTCATTCAAATTATTCCAAGTTTATTCCTATATGAGCTAGCCAGGGGACCTTATGGACCTACAGATCGTGAGCTCCAACGATTCGAGATTAATCGGTTAAACTCTTTAATCAAGTTAACCAACATTCGTTAACTATCGGGTCACTCCACTAAAGCCCGTAGCTGCACTCTCCTTACTGTAGATATATTATGTCCATTTGATATAATCATGATCGGTAAGTCGACCCTTCACAGGTTGTTCGTAATTACAGCTGGGTCAAAATACCGTTTTACCCCTGTAATTACCTCTTGTTCTTGAAGTCTCACTGATCCTCTAATGAACAATGATTTGTAGTCCAACTATCAAATCAAAAAATCATCTCAAACCTTTTGATGAGGGTGGCTCCAATTGTTCAAGGCTTGGATTCACCCTTTAAGAGAACAACCTCTCTACTATCTCAAAATTGGGTAGGAGTGCGTTTCTTCTTACACCTTATGACCCTAGTTATCTACCTAGTCTTACCCATGAAATAAGAGGCTTATTGAGCCAACGCTGTTGAGCTGCTCTCACTTATGCAGATCTAAGGATAAAAGTCGAGGTAGTAAGTTTCAGACAGTCAACAGTGTTATAAAGTAAAAGTGACTATCTCATGGTCCGGTTTTATGCAAACTCTTTGAACGGGACGCCCCCACTCGCATGTCTTCACATGAACGAATTAAGATCACATCGTTTGTACTAGCTACAAAGTATACTGCATCCATAGTGTCCCCAGAATAAGGCGCCTAACCTTATTCCTATACTATAGACCATTTAGAATGTTAACTCAAACTTGATCCATATTTATGTTTCTACATAAAGTTTGAATCTCATGTAACAATCTAAGATCCTTAGTTTATTGGATTTAGATCTAGTAAAACATTTTATTAGATCAATAACTACTTATTGATTATAAACTTTAATAACAACTTGATTGAATGATAAAAGTATATCTGGCATTTACAAACGATGAGTTTTAGGACATAAAACCCAACAATATTATTGTAAAGAATATACATAGCTTCATTTAAAGATATTGGAGGCCTAGGTTGGATTATTCGAAATGAGAGGGGAAAACAAATTACGGCAGGTTGTAAACTTATAAGGGAGTGTAGAGATATCAAACACCTGGAGGTCATTTCAGATGACTTAGCTTGAAAAAGATGGCAATAGTGTCTTATTCAATTGGAATCATACTCCTTTGAGGTGGTCAGACTCCTCAACAAGCAACAAAATGATCTAACTGAAATTACATTGTCGATTGATGAAGCTCTTTCCATGAGAGAAGACACTGAAGTTGCCTTGAATTCGACGAAGTGATACATGGACCAGCGAAGAGGCGATCGAAGAATATCTAATGGAAAAATGGAGTTGTTGTTTAACTATATGGCTTCAAACTCTAGTTCATATTGAACTCGGGTTGGTTTAGTTTGTTCTTTTAGTCTTTTCTAAGATGAAAAAAGTGTATATGGTACAACAAGTGTTGAGTAAAAAGGGAGAAGAAAGTGCCAAGTGTCAAACCCATTAAAGTAAACTTAGCTGTCATTTTTGTGATTATAATATTATATTTTGATGCTCGCTATAATTTATGTTTTAAAATGATTTTTATCAAAATAACTCAGTTATAAAGGAACAAGGCCCATATACAACGGGCCCAGTATCTGAGCCCACGATCATCACAGACCAAAGTATAACATTTGGTTGATGTGGTCCAAATTGCTTCCAGGCCCACAAAGATCGCCGACTGGCCGTTAAGCAAGCTCAGAGAAATGTACTTGAATATCCCTTTTATAAAAAGATTTAAGGGTTTTTTTTTATAGATTTTTATTTGGTTCATAAGTTTCAAATTTGACTTTTAGAAAATAAAATATCTTTAGAATCAAACTTCCATGAGTGAATACTATCGTGGTATTGGCCACATTAATTGTAGGTAGCTTAAGTGATTTTTTTTTCCGTTTCCCTCCTCATTTGGTACTCCAAAAGATTTAATTTTGAAATAGTACAGTTTAGACATGGCAAAGATTTGAGTCTATAACTTCTAAAAGGGATAGGGTAAAAATTAAAATAAAATTTTGGCRTAAAAATTAAAATAATTTTTTGGTCTGGAATTTGCACAAGTGTTTATTTGATTCCTGAGATTTTAAAATAGATACTTTAGTATTTTAGGTTTATAAAATAGATCTAAATGACCACTGAACTCAATTGATGATTAATCAAGTAATCGAGAAAATGACGTGGCAGTTAAAGTTGCTTATTGTATCTTGTCAATTGGGCAAAATATATTAGTTTAATATATATTTTTTAGTACAACATGTTGGGGATAAAATTCGAACTCACGACCTCTTGGTTGAAGGTATATGTCAATTATTGCTGCTTTGACATATATTAATTTAATATTACTTTGGTGAAATTGACAGTGAGTTTAATCTTCCCTCTTTTCCTTCTCCTATCCTTCGAGTAATTGTCGGTTCCACCGTTCTTCTCCTCGTTGCTACTTCTAAATCTATCGAAAATGAAGAATGACGGAACATAGAACTCAAATCTGTCTAATTTGAAATAAAGTCGTTCCATATCCCATAACAAACTCGCTCTAACTTTAAGAATAAACGAAGGTTATGATATGTTGTGCTTCTTTCTTTCATTTTTATATATTAACAACATCAACAAGAAGGGAAGGGCAATTCAAAACTATTTTTAAAATTTGAAGAATCAAAATATTTTTTTTGAAATTGTATGGATCAAATATATACCAAATCTCACGAACAAGAATTTAAGTTAATGGTAATGGATACTTTTCTCCAATTAAGAGATCGCGAATTCAAATCCATATCTCATTATTCAATTAATAAAATTCAAATACTACTGATCTTCCTCTCGTTACTTTTTGTTGTACAGAAAGGGTGAAGAAATATTTACAAAAGAAATAGTACATTAAAAGAAATTTTATTTTGAACAATAAGGATGGAGCACGCTCTTCGAGGAAGCGTCTCCCTGACACCTTTTTCAATGAATCATTTTATTTTGTTGAAAGAAAAACAATTATAACAAAATTTAAACAATCTTTTAATTAGTTAAATAACGTTAATTTTAGAAGCTCTTATAAATTATGTTTGTTTTCGGAAAGATGGATCTCCATGAATCAACGAAGGTGACAAATTCAACCTGCTCATGGATTCAAATCTCCCGCCCCATTTATTGTGCTCAAAACATGTTCAATCCCTAAATCAAATGTTTCTAAATGATTATTGTTTAAAAAATAATGTGACTCAATTTTACATCTAATTGAAAGTTAAATTTTCCATTTGAAAAAAAAGTACGAGTACACAATTTTATCATTGAGTTATTAGTCAGGTCAATTTTTTGAAGGATACAATTTACCTTCAATTTAGCGTAGAAGTTCAATTTTAATTAAAATAAAAAAACTAATTGAAATAATATTTTTCTACTTTTAAAATGTTTGGCCTTTTGTACGCTATTCATTTTAGTTGCTGTATTTTCAAAAGGTTAATTTTAATCTTTTCACATACTTTTAGAAAAGTGACAATTTAGTTTCTTAAATTTATTCTTATTCTTATTTTTCTATTGTAATTTCAACGTGATACTCTACCCAATATATTTGTTAAAATGTAATAATTAATTTATATTAAAGTGTTTCTATTATGTATAGAATTTGTGTTAACATCTTTTACCTACCTATTTGATAAAAATGAATATTTTCAAAATAATTAAAATTAACTAAAATTAAAAATCATAATACTAAAATAAATATTTTCAAAATATAATAACCAAAATAAACCAGACTAATATCATTAAAATAACCTACATATTGTAAAAAAAAAATAAAAAATCAAAATAGTATTTAACAAAAAATTAAAAGCACGTAATAAAAGAAAGAAATCTGAAATTACTGTTCCAACTCACCAAAATTCAACTACTTAAAATATATACCGAAATTACTGTACTCCAAGAAGTAGGGCGAAGCCACCGTACCGTCGCAGAACTTTGTTTTCCGGCTGATTTTGGGCCGGTGGCTGAGGTAACTCTCTCTCGTGCGCACTTCTGTGTTCTGTAAATGGTTATTGCTTTGTGTATTTGTATTTTATGGAGTGGGGGTTTCGAAATCGGCCCCACCTACTTCTGAATCTGATTTGCAAATGGTTTCACTGCAAACTTTCCAATAAGCCCTCTCGTCAAGTTGCGATCACGGCGCAGTGACAGTGAGGGATTTTGTATTCTGCTTATGAGAGAATTGGCGATGTTAATGAAATCACATCTCAAGAACAGAACCACGCTCTTACTCCCTTTTAAAACCCCAATTCAATTCTTGATTCTTCCACACAAAATCCCCAATCCACTGCGAACTTGAATTGTATCCCACCCATTTTGGAATATATCCACTCCCTCTCGTTTTCCTTGCACGTAGAGACACACAGAAGGATTTCGTTTAGATATGCTCTTGACTGCCTTTCCATTGGATTTGACCAAACAGTGATTCGCATTTTGGGTGGATGGAATATTAACTTATTTCCAATGCTTTGTCCCTTCCCTTGGCATATTACAAACTTTTCTTTTATTTGTTATTTGTTTCTTTCTTTTGATTTCATTTTCTGTTTTAAATGAAAGGGAAAGGGGGAAAAAGAAAAAAGAAAGAAAGAAAGGGGGAAAAACATAGACATACATACCCGAGGAACTGTTTGTTTACAAAGACGTCCATGGGCTTCCCATCTGATTGCCAAAACTTCCATATACAAAGCGTTTCTGGTAATTTTGTAGCGATCCCATTCCCCACACAAAAGGTGGTGGCAAAAAAAGTTCTTTTTGTACACACTGCGATGATGGCGATGATGATGCCTGCAATCCCCAACAGCAGCATCAACCCCCCAACAAAATTCCTCTCCTTTTCTCTCTCTTCTCCCCTTCCTTTTCGCCTCCCTTCTCTGTCTTATCTCCCCCATAATCCTGTGGTTAATGTTTTCGATTTCCTTTCCTTACGCCATGGTAATCACACCCCATTAAAATACTGAAACTACCACCAGCACCTGCTTCAGGATATGGAGGAAAAGTGTGGTTGTTGGGCTGTTTTGACTCGTACTGTTTCTGGTGTTTGCAAATCCTCCGCTTCCAGAGACTCTCCCAACACTATTCCTCGAACTAGTCTAGTTTATGATTCTGGTAACAACCATTTGTCTTTTCTTTTCCATATTCGATTTTGTTTTTGTGTTTATGGATTCTATTTGTGGTAGTTTCTGCCAAATTTTGGGCCTAAGGTTTGAACTTTGGTTCCCTTAAAATGTTCAATTTGCATCTGCGCAGTGGACTGTCTATGTTGAATTAATTTACTCTTCCGTCACTTTATCTCTCATTCTCTCTCTCTGACTCATTAAACTGGTTTGATTTATTAATAGCTTCTTGTTCGTCACGAAAAGCTTCAGACTTTTAGTTCACTAGCAAGAGGCGGCTATTTCAAAAAGGAATCTTCATTGATGCATTGAACATTTGTAGCTAAGATTACGGATCCCAAAATGGATTACTACTGAGTCCCACTATGATCACTTTTCTTTCTTATAGCTAAAACTTAATTTCAATATCCATCTGTTTTAGCTTTTGCAGAAGATTGGCAGTCCCTGCTAGAAGTAGTTTAATGCACAAGAAATAAAAATATGTTTTAGATCCGAATTTGGAGGCTGTGAAACTTTGAGTCTTTTGCTTGTCTTTTCATATTTATCGAAAGCAAAGTTTTCTTGAAGTGGTATTGAATTGAAGAAACAACTTTCATAGGCTGTGAAAGGTGGACTTGTTGTGATTTAGCAGATAACACCTTTTGTCATTGCAGCCACCGAGACGCGGTATTTAAATGCTAGCAACAGAGATCTCTGTCCCCTGAATGAAGCTGAGCTAGCCTCTGATGATGCCAATCCATCTCCATCAGATAACAAAGCAAGCAGCAAACTGCTTCAGTTCTCTTTTCACGAGCTCAAGGCGGCAACTGGAAACTTTAGACCTGATAGTATTCTTGGGGAAGGTGGATTTGGATTTGTCTTCAAAGGATGGATTGAAGAGAATGGGACAGCCCCTGCAAAACCCGGATCAGGAATTACGGTAGCTGTTAAGAGCTTGAAATTAGATGGTCTTCAAGGCCACAGAGAATGGGTGGTTAGTAAAATTTTCTGCTTTGGGTTCGTAAAGACTAATGTATAAAGCGGACCTAATGGTGAGAGTGCTGAAAATTTGCTAACACAACATGTTTCCTCGATTACAGGCTGAGGTCGCCTTTCTCGGACAACTTCACCATCCAAATCTTGTTAAGCTTATAGGTTATTGTAATGAAGACGATCAACGTTTGCTTGTTTATGAGTTTATGAGCCGTGGAAGTCTTGAGAACCATGTTTTCAGAAGTAAGAATCTCTACCTCTTGCTCTTTTAGAAGTCCTCTCACTTGGCTTTCAATTTCCCACAAAGAGAACTTCGGATTTGTCAAATGGACATATAATGTTGTGATACTTAGTTTTTGATAACATGCTTCTGTTTTTCACAATATGGATCGAGTTTCTTAGTCTGGAGAAGACTGTCTTTTTGAAATTTCACTTGACTACAATCTTAGTTACATACAGACAAGCTGTAGGATGCAGATGCTTATATTCATAACTGGTGCAGGGACTGTACCTCTTCCATGGTCCAATAGGATTAAGATCGCCCTTGGAGCAGCAAAAGGATTGGCCTTTCTTCATAACGGTCCAGTACCTGTTATTTATAGAGATTTTAAGACGTCCAACATCTTACTCGATTCAGTATGTTCCAAATGGAAATGTTTGAGACGTCTTAGTTCATTTCTTTATGACATTTATACATATGACATTGATCTTACAGGAATACAATGCAAAGCTTTCGGATTTTGGTTTTGCGAAAGCGGGGCCTCAAGGAGACAAAACACATGTTTCTACCAGGGTAATTGGGACATATGGCTACGCTGCTCCTGAATATGTAATGACAGGTAGGATTTTTGTAAAAGATGTTTCTAACTAGATGAAACGGTTTTATGCTAAAACAATTGTGCACGACTTTAAGAATGAATTGTGGTTGAAACTGTGAAGAGCATTTATCTCAAGTAATGTCAAACTCACATAGTAAATCAACTGCTAATTATTTTAATATTTGTAGGCTCTGATCTCTGGAACAGTTAGGATTAAACTACAGAAGCTCTTTATATGGACTATTTGGTTTTGTTCCATAAGTCCAAGAATTTGGCAATAGTAGCTGGATGAACTTTATAAGCATTTTGATAAAATGATTAGATAAGAATGGATAAGAATAAGGTAGCTTTGCCATCTAGATATGAGAAACGAAGACCTCTTAGTTGGTTTGAAAGAGTAGGAAAAAAAAAGAAGACTGGTTCTTTTCGATATTTTTTAAATAGCTTTAGAACTCTTTCATGCCTACGGTAACACAACACCTACAAGCAGATACAATACATCTTACAGCTTGGGTTTCCAATAACTCAGTGTTGTCTTTTTTTTATCCTTCCTTGCTTTTTATACTATGTGGTACTCAAAGGCGTCAACAGTAATAAGAATAACCGATATCTAACAGATATCTAACAAAGTTCCAAACTTTTGTTCATTTTTGTGCAGGACATCTGACATCCAAGAGTGATGTTTATAGCTTTGGTGTTGTGCTACTTGAGATTGTGACAGGGAGAAGATCCATGGACAAGAAACGTCCGAGTGGGGAGCAGAACCTTGTCTCATGGGCTCGGCCATATTTAGCCGATAAAAGGAAGCTGTATCTTATAGTGGATCCCCGCTTGGAATTGAACTATTCCATCAAAGGGGTGCAGAAGGTCTCCCAGCTTGCTTGCAGTTGTCTCAGTAGGGACCCGAAACTACGTCCAACCATGGACGAAGTTGTGAAGATTCTTACTCCACTGCAAGACCTCAACGACTTTGCCATCCTATCGTCTCACTGCCGCTTATCTTCACAAGGGAGGCGCAAGAAGAAACCTGAAGGCCTCACCTACTCTCAAAGCTTCAGAGCTTCTCCATTGAATGCTGGAAAGCAGCATCTAAATTCTAAGGTGATCAATCTCTGAATCCTCTCTGATTTATGAAAAGTAAACAAAGGTTTAAGGTCGGAAACGTTCGCATTAGCTAACTGGATTTGTTAGGACAATACTACATATGATGAAGCCTGTTTAATTTCCTCTAGTATCAAATATTTGCCAGAAGCAGAGGCAGAATATGAGAGAAAAGGCATATCATTAGCTTCACTGCACAATTGCATCTTCTTTTGTGGGTCTGCATTGCCTTGTAAGTTCTAGCTAGACAAAGATCTTCGAGTGTCAAATTTGCAGTCGCTTTCAATTTTCAGTGCTCTTTTGTGGATGTATCTTTCTTGAACATTTATGGGAAATATCTGGCTTTCCTTTCTTTGAGGAATTCCATTCTTAGTATGTCAAATCCGAGAGAAAAAGAAATTCTATGGGTTTCTCAGGTGAGTTACCGCCATTCTTTTTAACCAGCAAATGAGAATATATAACTTTATACAAGATGCTATCCTAATCATGTTTTGTTTCTTTAAGGACACCCATTATAATAAAATTATAAAAGAATCTTATCTAGCTTTAATGATTCCATCAATCATTGTTTCAAAGATACTGGGAAGCATGTAATTGAAAGTCTTACCTAAACCATAATCTTTTCAGATATATATATCATAAGTGATTAAGCCACTGGATTCTTTTATAAAGAATGAAGTTTGGGTTTGGTGACCAGAAATCTGAAATAGTGAATTCATATTAAGAAAGCTAGTTGTATTTTTTTTTTTCAGTATTTTTGAAAATGTGTTTGGTGTCATATTGAAATTGAATCTCTAACTTCAATCATGTAAAGTAGTGGTACTTACCAAGTAAATATTTAGTTCAATCTAAAATATTATAAATTAATTTATTAACATGTGTTAATAAGTTTCCTATAATTATTATTTTACAATATTATATAATTTATAATATGTTATATATATTACATATTTTAATGTTAACAAAAATAAATGAGTTTATAATATAAAATAGTATATTTATCAATTTTTTTTATATTTGTGTCTTCGAACTAACTTGCACATATCTTGATAGGATATTAAAACTATCTTGATAGGATATTAAAACTAAGTAGGTAGCCAATGAATCTAAAAATAAAAGACAAAGACAGAATCTAAGGTCCAAAATCTGTACCAAACATGCCCTTAAATATTTAAAAATTTAAAATTTGTCGATCTAACTTCATGTTTTGAGTGCAACGTTAATTTAATATAATTAGAGCATTTTCTTTTACTAATAATCTACGCGATGGGGCTAGTTATAAAACGAAAGACAATTTAGAGAGAGAGAAACATTACTTAATACTATTTAAATCAAATTTACAAGAAATTTTTTTTTCTAAGTGCATAAATTAAGGCTGCCCAAAACATTGTTTCAAAACAAAGATTAAAAAAAAGGCTACCCAAAACATTATTATTGGATCAAAATGTCTCTTTCAGCTGAGAATCTTCAGATTCTTGAGCATCTTCAACTTCAACTTCATCGCCATTTTCCTTTTGCTTCTTCAAGCAGTTTGAATGCCTTGGAGACCGATCTAATTGAATTTATTGTCTGAGTGAAAGAAAGGAAAGTGGAGTCCTGAGTGGCACAAACATGAAATCGTCTTCCCGCAACATCATACACACCAAGACTCTCAAATTAACATCAGAAAAGTAAAAGAAAAAGACCCATCTGACCACTTTATAATAATAGTTCATCCCCAAAGCCTTCTGACCACTTTATTATACCAGAAGCTGTTCAACCTTCCTGCCTATTTTCTTCTATCCATTTATTTGGGCCATCTCAAATCCACAGATTCTTGGCACAAATTAAGCTACACGGTTCACAAAATGCAGCTGCATGGGGATACATATAATTGGTTAATGACTTGAGCAAATACAAGACCAGACTCAACGTCATAGACAACAGAGAGAGAACTATAAATTAAACCAATATTCACGAGGTGTACCTGTTCACCATCCCTGATTCCGAAATGTTTAATATGTGATTTATCGTTGATCAGTTTGAAATGTTTATAGCATAAGCAAAAATGACCCCACACATGTGGCCTGCATTTGCACCAAATAAAAACAATAATTGAACACATTTCTCAATCAACAGATTAAATTAATGTATGCGGTCTCAGCAGTTCCAACAGCCTACCATGAAATCTTGGTATCTTCTTTATTCATCATAATTTGACAGAAAACACTCTCCACCGCGTCTCTGAGATCTGCCACCGTCGCTTTCCTTGCAACTTGCACCTCTACGCACATATATTATTCAAAATTCGAATACATAAACAAACCGACCATAATTCAACAACCTAAATTTTTCAAAAATCATTGATAATTGATTCAATACACAGTCCCAGGGCAGGGCAGAATATCCAAACGTTTCACAGCAGCGTCAACATTTATGGAAACAGAATCCCCAAATCAACATAAAACATTCCTCAATACCTAGATTATCCACAGAAATGCTCATCCACAGAGCAAGATTTGCAATAAAGAGCGAAAATAAAAGAATCAGTATGCAGGGGGATAATGCATTACCGAAGGAAGAGCCGTCCAGTTTCAGCACCGAAAGCCGGAGGAGCTGCGGCGGAAGCCTCTGGTAGCTGAGACTCCGGCGAAAGCTGTTGCTCCGAAGCCGAGGCGAGAGACTAGTGCAAAAACATGATTCCGGAAAATCCGATTCAACGTGAGACATGAATCGAATCGAAAATCGACCTGTACTCAAAATTTCAGGTACTGGGAGGAACAGGAAGCGAGGATTAAGAGCTTAGGGCGCAATTCGTGAGGATTAAAGCAGAGTTGTAACTCTGATTTTTGAATCTGAATGCGTTTCAGTCGGATCTAGGGTTTCGAGGAGTGGCGAAAAATTGAGGAGCCAAAGACAGAAACACAACCGTTGGTTGGTTCAGCTGTGAACGCGGGAAGCGGTTATTAAAGGAGACCCTGAAATTTCACTACTTTTTTTTGTTTTTTGATTTTTTGTTTTTTTCATCAATATATTTTAGCTTTATTAATTACCAGAAGATTAAAAAGGAAATTAGGTCTAAATTGTGCTTTATACTCTCGAACATTCTATTTTTATATAAAAACATGTTCTTAGTTTTAACGGCTAAATTTCAGCAATTTTTTAAAAAAGGGTAAATTTCAGCATTATTGCATGACTCTAATAAAGTTGAATTGATATCAAAATTTTCAAAATGGATGGCCTAAACTTTCTGATAAATATTATACAGGAATTTATGATAACGATTATTTATCAACATTTTGAAGTTGTAATAAAATATTTGTGGAGTATTAAACTAAATGAAACAAAAAAAAAAGTTGGAAAAACAACTTTCTTGTTCAATATCAGAATAATTTTTTTAGTTAAAACTTCCAAATAGACCTTCATCATTACTCAATGTTAAGTTTAACTATTTAATTTATGACTTGATTAAAGGAACACAAAACGCAAAAAACTAAATTAGTAACATAATTCATACTATTTTAAACAGATCAAAACTGTTTAGATTGGCAGAATTAGATCTTTCTGATGTGAATCAACAGAAGAAGCCCTGTTAACTGACATTTGATCTCTAGACAGTGCAGTGCAAAAAAAAAAAAAAAAAAAACAATAATTTTGAGAACTGCTAATTTGATATTGAAATAGTAATTTTTGTTCGTTGAAAGGTTTTAATTATATTTTCTCTCTTTTTTTTAACCAAATAAGCAACTTCATAACTATTTTTCGATTTCTCATTTTTACTTTTTCAATCGATTAGTTGGTCTTTTGTAATATTCTTTTGATTTGAATAGTTAGTTTCATGACATTAATATAATAATGTAACTCAAAAATTTAAAACATTTCAACAATAAAGTAATAATTTCATAAATTATTGGTAAAGCTTGAGATAGAGAAACAGAGGAACCTTAGTTTTTGTTACTGGAAAAAAATGCATAACTAATTCTGGAAATACTTCTGAAAAAATAAAGAGGAGAAAAAAAAAAGAGACCTTAAGAAAATCACAGTTTGTAATTAAAAAAAGAAGTTGGCTGAAGAACTCAGGTAAAAAATAATTTTGCTTACAAGTATATATATCTAATGCATTAAGAAAAAAATTATGTTGTATAAATTAAATAAACAACTAAATTAAAGTATTAACTAGTAGGTTCAGTTTGAGATCGCTCATATATTTGTTGAACTAAAATACAAAGGATTGGAATTTAAGAAATCTGGAAATGATCTAGAATGAAAAAACAAAACTCATATTAATTTTGATCCATAAAGAAGAAACTAATCCTTAGGGGATTGGAGTTGCCAAAATTAATGGCATATGTGCACATAATATAACCTTCTCAATATATATTTATATTAGTATAAGTAGAGATTATTTGGGTTTTTATATTCTAAATTTCATATATCGATCTCAGTATATTAAAATTTGAAACTGTATTTTTTTTCCTAGATCACCCACCCACGTTGTAGAAAAAAGAAGTGGAAATAAAGGCAGTATTATTGAACTCCAATTCTCATCTATTTATATATACTATATATGTATATATTCATGCATGCATATGTGGGAAAGAGAGGAAAAGCAGAAATAAAACAGTAGAGAAGACTGATATATACCTGATCAGCTTATGGTTGGTGATAAAGAGAGCCGAGATCCGACGAACTGACGCGACCCGTTTCAGATCAACTTAAAACGCATCGTCGTGTTGACGACGATGATACAACGAAAAAGAAAAAGAGTGAAGAAGGAAAGGGTGATAATTGAGAAACAAAATATAGGGTTTTGTTAAATAAGAAACCCTAGATATATACCAAAAGAAAAGTGATATTGGCGCGGCTCAATTAGAGATCGTACTTTACGATCGGAGTAAAGTCCGTCTTCAAATTGAACCTCACCAACATCGCTTTCTGATTTTCGTACTACCAATTCCTCTCAGCTCCATCGTCCCACATGTTTATATATATATGCAGAAAAGAGTAAAAACACAGAGAAAAGAGAAGAAGAAGAAGAAGAAGAAGAAGAAGAAGAAGAAGAATGACGATGAATTTAGGCACAAATTCAATAGACAAGAGGAGGGGGCCGGGATTGTTAAATAATAAAGCCAATTCTCTTTTGGGTATAAAAAGGTCTCCATTTATACCAACCAAAAAGAAGAAAGGGAATTATTGAGAGAAACCAACACCAGAAAACTGGACCCATTTTCAGGCACCAAAAAGGAGATCAACAAAATGAATAATTTTTTAGGTGGCAAATGGAAAATGTTTTTAGAGGAAAAAAATAAGGTAGGCTGTGTCAGGTGGAGTAGTAGGAGAAGGTAGAGTTGGTGGTTTTATTGGTGGGTGGGGAAGAAGAATAATAAAGAGATAATTCAATAAATAGATACAATTAGCTTCATAATTAAGTGGGGAATTAAATTTTCTGATCTCTCTCTTGAAGAAGCTGAGAAGCTTTATTTTACTGTTGGATCTAAAACTAAAAGTGGGATTTCAAAGACTCGATAAAATTGGGCCCAAAAAAGACATGAAAAGTAATTAAATGGTGTGGAATGAAATGATGGGTCATGTGAGAGATGAAGAAGAAGCTGAAGAAGAAGAAGAGAGAAGAAGGTGAGGGAAATGATTTGAAGGGGAATATATAACACAATTACTTTAGGGTTTTGTCATGCTTAGTTTGTACTCAATAAAAACTACACTTCTCTCTTCTCTTGTGCGCATGCATTCTCAAATATTCTTCCACCAAAAAGGGAACGAACCA